CACAACATAGGTTTCTGACACAGAATGAATGTGGTCTAAGAACTTAAAAATTTTAAATTGGACATTCACCTATTATGGTCCAATATCCAAAATCTAAATACATGGTTAGATTCAGCATATCAAAGAACCCCAAGAATTCAATTTTTGATGAAATCAAACAAAGTTTAATTTTGGACCCTTTTGACCTCAATGTGGACAAAGTTGATAACGGGGCCCAAAAATCAAAAATCTAAATACATGGTTAGATTCAGCATATCAAAGAACCCCATATATTCAATTTTTGTTGAAATCAAACAAAGTTTAATTTTGGACCCCGATTTGGACCAACTTGAAAACTGGGCCCAAAATCAAAAATCTAAATACATGTTTAGATTCAGCATATCAAAGAACCCTAAGAATTCAATTTCTGTTAAAATCAAACTAAGTTTAATTTTGGACCCTTTGGACCTTAATGTAGACCAATTTGAAAACGGAACCAAAAATTAAGAATCTAAATACATGGTTAGATTCGGCATATCAAAGAACCCCAATAATTCAATTTTTGATGAAATCAAACAAAGTTTAATTTTGGACCCTTTGGACCTCAATGTGGACCAATTTAAAAACGGGGCCCAAAATCCAAAAACTAAATACACGGTTAGATTCAGCATATTAAAGAACCCCAAGAATTCAAGAATAAAACCCCATTGAAATTGGTCAAGAAATAAGCAATTTATACAAAGTATCTTCTTTTGCACAATACTGTGCAATTAAATATTTCTTGCTATTGCGCAATACTGTACAATTGATAATTTCTTGCTATTGCGCAATATTGTGCTATTGGATATTTCTTGCTATTGCGCAATACTGTGCAATTGAAGATTTCTTGCTATTGCGCAATACTGTGCAATTGAAGATTTCTTGCTATTGTGCAATATCGTGCAATTGAAAATTTCTTGCTATTGCACAATACTTATTATATAATAATTTACACATCCTGTTTGGTGTGTATCTCCTACCATATCATTATTATTTGCTTTTAAATATAAATCAGAAATAACCAACTTAAAATGGAAAATTTTAAAAGAAAAAAAAAAGAAAAAAAAGGAAAAAAAAAAAAATCCCCCCCCCCCAAATTTTTTGAACCCCCTTATGATTCATCACCCCCAAACTCAATCCCAGCCTTCCCTTTGTGGTATGGTACCTTGCAGTACAATTTCAGAGAGATCCATACACTTGAACACAAGTTATTGTCTGGAAACTAGAAAAATGTGTTTTTTGGCCCCTTTTTGGCCCCAAATTCCTAAACAATTAGGGCAATTAACCCCAAACTCAAACCCAGCTTTCCCTTTGTGATATGGAACCTTGTAGTACAATATCAGAAAGATCCATACACTAACACACAAGTTATTGTCCTGAAACTAGAAAAATGCTTGTTTTTTGCCCCTTTTTGGCCCCTAATTCCTAAAATATTGGGGCAATTACCCCCATCATCAATCCCAGCCTTCCCTTTGTGGTATGGTACCTTGCAGTACAATTTCAGAGAGATCCATACACTTGAACACAAGTTATTGTCTGGAAACTAGAAAAATGCTTATTTTTGGCCCCTTTTTGGCCCCCAATTCCTAAACGTTTCAGCAATTACCCCCAAACTCAATTCCAGCTTTTCCTTTGTGATATGGAACCTTGTAGTACAATTTCAGAAAGATCCATGCACTTACACACAAGTTATTGTCATGAAATTAGAAAAATGCTTGTTTTTTTGCCCCTTTTTTGGCCCCTAATTCCTAATATTTTGAGGCAATTACCCCCAAAATCAATCCTAGCATTCCTTTTGTGATATGGAACCTTGTGGTACAATGTCAGAGAGATCCATACACTAACACACAAGTTATGTCTGGAAGTTACAAAAATGCTTATTTTTGGCCCCTAATTCCTTTACTGTTGGTACCATAACCCCCAAAATCAATCCCAACCTTCCTTTTGTGGTTTTGAACCTTGTGGTAAAATTTCATAGAGATCCATTCACTTAAACTAAAGTTAGAGTGCGAAAACCAATGTGTCTTCGGACGACGCCGGACGACGCCAGACGACGACGACGACGACGACGACGACGCCAACGTCATACCAATATACGACCACAAAAATTTTTTTGCGGTCGTATAAAAAGTGAAAATTTTACACGATTTTGTCTGTTATCAGGAAAAAGTAGCTAATGCGGGATAAAGAAACAATATAAAAGACATTGCCCAGAAGTACTTCATTATCAGTTTCAATCAATTCTTAACACACAAAAAAATTATCTAGGCATGTTTAAGTCTTACAGATTTATTTCCAAATTTTTTGGAAAATTTGGCATTCACTTGCATGTAAATTAGTGAAACTAGAGGTTCTCAAGAGCCTGTGTCGCTCACCTGATTCTACTTTGATTTTGGAAATCATGAAAAAATAGATTAAAATCATAACAGATACCCTAATAATGATTGAGGCAAAATTTGGTTTAATATTGGCCCCGTAATTTAATAAAAAAATCCTGGTGGCCATCTTGAACAGTAAATCAGCAACAAAGTAGCAACACTTCATGCACTTCATAAGGAACATTTATGCCATTTTTGGTTTCATTCCATTCAGTGCTCCTCTAGAAGAAGCATTTGTATGTATTTCCCATAGGGTCTTATGTTAAACTAAGTCCCCTGCTGGCGGCCATCTTGGATGATGGTTCGGCTACAAAGTAACAACACTTGGTCAGCACCTCATTAGGAACATTCATGCCATGCTTGGTTTCATTCTATTCAGTGGTTCTCTAGAAGAAAACATTTGAATGTATCTCCCATAGGCTCCTATGTTAAACTTACTACCCCTGCTGGCAGCCATCTTGGATGACAAATCAGCTACAAAGTAAAAACACTTGGTCAGCACCTCAAAAGAAACATTCATACCATGTTTGGTTTCAATCCATTAAGCTTTTTTTCTAGAAGAAGACATTTGTATATATTTCCCATAGGGTCCTTTGTTAAACTAATTCCCCGTTGGTAGCCATTTTGGTTGATGGATTTGCTACAAAGTAACAACAATTGTTCAGCACCTCATAAGGAACATTCATGCCATGTTTTATTTCATTCCATTTAGTGGTTCCCTTAAAGAAGACATTTGTATGTATTTCCCATAGGGTCCTATGTTAAACTAATTCCCTCTCTGGCGGCCATCCTGGATGATGGACCGGCTTCAAAGTAAGAACATTTGGTCAGCACCTCATAAGAAACATTCATGCCATGTTTGGTGTCATTCCATTCAGTTGTTCCCTAATAGAAGACATTTGTATGTATTGTCCATACGATGGTCCTATGTAAAACTAAGTCCCTCTCTGGCAGCCATCTCGGATGATAGATCGGCTTTCAAAGTATTAACACTTGGTCAGCACCTCATAAGGAACATGCATGCCATGTCTGGTTTCATTCCATTCAGTTGTTCTCTTAAAGAAGACATTTGTATTTATTGTCCATAGGGCCCTTTGTTTAACTAAGTTCCCCGCTGGTAGCCATCTTGGATGATTGATTGGCTACAAAGAAACAACACTTGGCCAGCACCTCATTAGGAACATTCATGCCAGGTTTGGTTTCATTCCATTCAGTGGTTCACTAAACGAAAACATTTGTATATATTTCCAATAGGGTCCTATGTTAAACTAAACCCCGCTGGCGGCCATCTTGGATGATTGATCGCCTACAAAGTTACAGCACTTGGTCAGCACCTCATAAGGAACATTAATGCCATGTTTTATTTCATTCCATTTAGCGGTTCTCTAATAGAAGACATTTGTATGTATTGTCCATAGGGTCCTATGTTAAACGAAGTTCCCCGCTGGCGGCCATCTTGGATGATGGATCGCCTACAAAGTTACAACACTTGTTCAGCACCTCATAAGGAACATTCATGCCATGTTTTATTTCATTCCATTTAGTGGTTCCCTTAAAGAAGACATTTGTATGTATTTCCCATAGGGTCCTATGTTAAACTAAGTCCCATTCTGGCGGCCATCCTGGATGATGGATCGGCTTCAAAGTAACAACATTTGGTCAGCACCTCATAAGAAACATTCCTGCCATGTTTGGTTTCATTCCATTCAGTGGTTCTCTTATAGAAGACATTTGTATGTAGTTCCCATAGGGTCCTATGTTAAACTAAGTCCCATTCTGGCGGCCATCCTGGATGATGGATCGGCTTCAAAGTAACAACATTTGGTCAGCACCTCATTAGGAACATTCATGCCAGGTTTGGTTTCATTCCATTCAGTGGTTCTCTTAAAGAAGGCATTTGTATGTATTGTCCATATGGTCCTATGTTAAACTAAGTCCTTCTCTGGCAGCCATCTTGGATGATGGATCGGCTTTCAAAGTATTGACACTTGGTCAGCACCTCATAAGGAACATGTATGCCATGTTTTATTTCATTCCATTTAGCGGTTCTCTAAAAGAAGACATTTGTATGTATTTCCCATAGGGTCCTATGTTAAACTAAGTCCCCCTCTGGCGGCCATCTTGAATGATGGATCGGCTTAAAAGTAACAACACTTGGTCATCACCTCACAAGGAACATGCATGCCATGTTTGGTTTTATTCCATTCAGTGGTTCTCTAGAAGAAGTTCAAAATGTAAAAAGTTAACGACGACGACGGACGACGGACGCCAAGTGATGAGAAAAGCTCACTTGGGCCCGGCCCGAAGGCCCAAGTGAGCCTAAAAAAACTGGTCTCTTCCACTCAAGCCCCCATGAATTATTTCTTAATGAGACAACTCTCCACCCGTGACCAAATAACATAGAAGTCAACAACTATATTAAACAACAACCATACAGCTTTTAACAATGAGCAAAACCCAAGACATGTTTTTGTACAACACTTTTGTGCAAGCTATATATCTGATCCTTAAACAATTATCAAATGAGTCCCCAGATTAACTTCTTTATATGGTAAGAAAAAACGCCAAACAAGCGGAAGAATTGTTTCTAAGTTATTCTCTACAATACCTTAACTTCTGTTATGCTGACACACTATCTTGTTTCTGTTTCGGAAAATTTCAGTAGATCAGCAATATTTTTAACACATATACGGAAGTTAACATTTGTAAGTATAGAACTAAGAAACAAAGAAACATTTCTGGATACATGCAATAAATAAAACCTGTCGTATTTCGTCTGCCGGTAGTTTACAACGTTTATTTGTACGTTTCAGTTGGAATACACGCTACTCGTAAAATACATTTTGTCAGTGGAGATCGCTGATCGCTATTAAAATACATGTGTTATAAGTACAAGTACATTTATTTAAGGTTCATCCTAACAAATGAACAAAAATGGCTGTATTTACACCTAAATAACTACTCTGAGTACAGACTAAACTGTGTATATAGAAAAGTTTTAAAGCCTGGCATCCACTAGATATATAAAAGTTAAATGTATTTTGTGTTTCAGAAAGATCAAATCTTTTTTGGATTTTGATGGGCATTTTTTTTTTTTCCTGCAGAAGGTGTAAAAATAAACAAACACCTGAATTGCATTTGATACTGTCCACTCAGTTAAACCCTTTAACTCACCTAAAGTTGTGTAGATATCTATTGTCTGTCTATTGTCCATGTCAATACAATACATTACAGTTGTTGCCTGAGAGGGAGCATCTCAAAAGTGTATCCCAACTTAGTTTATTTTTACACCTTCTGCAGGAACGGGAAAAAAATGCCGAACAAAATCCAAAAAAGATTTGATCTTTCTGAAACACATAATGCATTTAACTTTTATATATCTAGTGGATGCCAGGCCTTTAAACTTTACCAACTGGACAGGTAAGTCTGTACTCAGAGTAGTTTTTGAGGTGTAAATACAGCCATGTTTGTCCATTTGTTATGGTGAACCTTACGACATGTAAATGATACACTCATAGCAGAGCCAAGTGAATAATATTTATATTATTAATAATGTTTAGCGTCACAAACGGAACTTATTATGACGGGTTACCGTCTTGTCCGGTTTTATCAATTTTGTCATGTTTGACACTTTATTTAAAGTCATATATAATACTTTAATTTTAACAAATTGTTGATAGAATAGAGAATGGAAACGGGGAGTGTGTCAAAGAGAAAACAAAAATGAACTGCTATTGAATTATTGTCTTCCCGTACTCCAATTCCCTGACAGCTTTTCCGTATGCAGTTACCTAAGTCCTTAATCATTCTTTCTCTCGTTAGAGATTCGACAATAACATAGCGCAATCATATATTCATTTTGCTTTGCTTTTGTAAAATTTTTATACGGGAATCAAAAATGCAAAGTCGGTAAACTGAAAATAATTATTGACTATTATTCCCAAATGTGGCTTCATCGAGAGAAAACAGTATTGATTGTCATTTCAATTTGTATTTTTTTCTTTTAGATATCAGTAATGGCGGCCTTATTATACTGCATATACTCAACACTATTTAACAAACTTACAGAAACGGCATCTTATAAACGGTCAAGTAAAAACAATATTAAAAAGCTTACTAAAACTCCTCATCTTGTACTAACAGCTGAAGATATTAAAGATCGTGAAATATTTATTATTGGTGATGTTCATGGATGTCTCGACGAGCTTAATGAACTTTTACGCCTAGCAAAAACTGATTTGAATGGTAAAACTCTTCTGCCAATATTTGTGGGTGATTTAGCAAACAAAGGACCACATAACGTTTCAACAATCAGACGAATTCGTGGGGAGAACGCTTATGCTGTCCGGGGTAATCATGACGCAGCTGTGATCAAACAATGTTTGAGTCGACAGGAACATGCGGATTATATTGTTCCTGATAAATATAAATGGATTACAGACCTTGTCGCAGATGACATACGGTTCTTACAGGAACTACCATATACTATACATATCCCTTCTAAGAATTCAGTTATCGTTCACGGAGGTTTAGTTCCAGGGACGCCGATAGAAGAACAGGATTTTACTAATATCATTACTATGAGAAGCTTATTTAAGGATGGTGACATATTAAAAGCATCAGCAAATCGGCTTATAGGTAAACCATGGGCATCGCTGTGGCAAGGCCCTGAATATGTATATTTTGGACATGACGCTGCCCGAAAACTGCAGCAATATTCCTACGCCACTGGACTTGACACGGGATGTTTGTACGGAAACTCTTTGACAGGCATATTTCTTGATAGTCAGAAAATGATACATGTAAAGGCTAAAAGGGTTTACGTTAATCCTGAATAGACAGCAGGGAAACATTGTCTATAAAATGTCTATTACTGATAGAATTGTGGTTATTATCATTGATTCTATGGTTTATTCTTACAGGTTATCAATTTAACCCCGTAGTAAAATATTAGTGGGTAGTTTACGATAATTTCTTTATACTGAGGTGAGTTGTTACATTTATTACACCCCTTATCACGGAGTGGGTAGTTTACGATAGTTTCTTTATACGGAGGTAAGCTGTGACATTTATTACACCCCTTATCATGGAGTAGGTAGTTTACGATAGTTTCTTTATACGGAGGTAAGCTGTGACATTTATTTTACCCCTTATCATGGAGTGGGTATAGTTGAGTACACCCCTTATCACTGAGTGGGTAGCTTCCGATAATTTCTTGATTGAGGTAGTATACTGCAATTCCATTGTCATTGCGTTTTGTTTTGTTTTGTTTTGGTTTTTTTTTGTTGCTGCGAAAAGCTTAGATATTTCTGTATCAACATATTAAGTGTGTTTAGCTTACAATTGTCTTTTTACCTTTCCGTTATTGACCCTTTAGTAAGAGATCCATTTGTAAGAATTGTTTCCCTTATGATGGACGTACATTTTCATTGCTAATGAAGAGCCAGCGAAAAGAGCTTTGTCTGTGCGTTATGTGTGTAATTTGGAAGTTTTTTTCAAAACTTTAGATTTCAATGAAAATTGGTTATAACGCCTATAAATCACTTTTACCGCAGATTCCAAATTTGTCTGGTTTAATTGGGAAAGGGAAAACATGCACCGCTGTTAACGGTGTATAATAACAGAATCAAGTAGGTAATTGGAATTGGCAAATAGACATTAGTTGTCACGAACATTCTCCAAACGATATTATCATATCAATATTTCGGATTTACTTTAGATAGTATATTTCTATATCGTAAGAAGATCTTAAGTACTTTTATTTAGGAATAAGACATGGTATGATTGCCAAAGGGACCATTTTACACAAAAGACCAAAGGACAAGGATGTTAACAACTGCAGGTCACCGTATGACCTTCAACTATCTGTAAGACTCATACCGTATAATAAGCTTTCAAGGCTTTTACGATATTAAAATTCGAAAATAATTCAAAAGATAAAATTCGGCTCCTTTTATACTAAAACAATAAAAGAATAACAATGATGACAGACAGCATTAAACGGCAACCATGGGAATACATTCTCCTGGCTGGGACATGCGCATTAAGAATATGGATTCAGTTACTGCGAGCACGATATTTTTATGTCCATTATAATTCAGTATTGTGTTTCGTCTTACATAACATCGATAGATAGTGTGTTTTTTCTGAAACCCTTTTTAGGTATTCTGTGGTGAAGGGGTAATAACAGAATATCATTTAAAAACATAATGAAAAATTTCGAGGGGTAGCAGGGACTGTTTACCTTGCATCCTTTTTACTCGAGAGAATTAAGTGCATTTCGAGCGGTAGCAGATACTTTTTACCTTACGTCCTTTTCACTCGAAATACTGATTAATTGCATTTCGAGCGGTAGCAGGGACTTTTTACCTTACGTCCTTTTCACTTTTTTCCTGTTATGTCTGTTTGTTTTGTTCTCACATTGTTTTGCCATTTGATAAAGGACTTTCCGTTTTGAATTTTCCTTGGAGTTCGGTATTTTTGCTATTTTACTTTTAACTAAGAATATATAATCATTTCAGGTTACCAGCATGATAGTCATATTGTTTTATTTTTACATAATTTTCACGAAAAGATTCGATAAATCATCAGAACCAAGATCTTTAATTTTTTGTGAAATTAGTCGCTTCTGAAAGTTTTCGTATAGAGCCTTAAATTAGAACTAAACATAATATTATTTGAGTTTTCCTTCGATTATAAAATTGAGAATGGAAATGGGGAATATGTCAAAGAAAACAACCCGACCAAAGAGCAGACAACAGCCGAAGGCCACCAATGGGTCTTCAATGCAGCGAGAAAATCCCGCACCCGGAGGTGGTCCTCAGCTGGCCCCTAAATAAAATTGTGTGCTAGTTCAGTGAAAATGGACGTCACACTAAACCCCAAAACATATTTGTGAATACACAATTTTTTCTAGTTTTCTCTGTGATATATTATTTACTAATGTGAATGAAAGCTAAAATTAGAATGAGAACAATATTCCATTGTTATCCACTTTGAAAATTATGATATCGTTATTGAAAACAAGTAAATGCATTCACACCAATCAACCAGTTATACTTTGCATAGATAGGATACGGACAAGGTCGAAAAACTAACGGAAAAAAAATGCATGATCCCTTATTCTTTATATAGCTGGATAGATGGGAAAGATAACTGGGCTAATTATTTGTACAAAAATACACAAATAAAAACAATTGAACTCGCTAAACCGGACATTAACAACTATATAAGAGCGGCTTCATTAAGTCAAAACGTATTGTGGTAACATTACATGACATTGAATTTTATCTGTTTATCAACACATTCTGAATGTTAAATAAGGTTAGTATTGTTTTTGAAATGATGTGTATACATTAACATTATCGGGTTCACATCTTCTGACAGTCCCCCAATGGTTTGGTATTATATCTTTACAGTCAATTCTCTAGGATAATATATAGGGGAAAACCCTAAGGGTTGACTAAGATATAGAAATACGGTCAATCCTTGGTCTTCTTCCGACCGTCAGTTAAACGCTTGCAAAAGTGGGGCGTCCGTGTCTCTGTGCACGGGATCATCTGTTATTAGAATAGATAGTTTATTAACGTCTCACCATTAATATACACAATAAAATATTTATATATATCATAAAAACATAAATAGATGTTAATGCCATTCTTGAAAGAATTATGAGAGACAAAAAGTAAAATTTCATCAAACAATAAAGGACTTTATAAAACTATGTACTTATTAAAATTACTAAAGCAAATTACGAAATCTTTACAGTCTAAAATTTATCGATATAAAAAACGTCTCCTGTCGAAAATAGATTTGCAGGTTTTGGCACATTTGTAAATAACATTAACGTTTTGGCACCCCAACACAAGACAGTTTCTCACGATTCGTAAACATGTTAAAGTTTTCATCTTCACTGTTTATATATTCATAGAGTTCGTTCCTTAAATCGTCATAAAGCGGACATTCAAGTAGCACATGTTCCTCAGTTTCCATCTTATTATCACACATAAAGCAAGTCCGTTCATGCATTGGTAAACATTCGTAGCGCCCGGTTTCGATTCGTATAGGTGCAACCCCACACCTGAATTGTGAATATGCTCTACGTTGAGCAGGAGATAACAGTGTTTTTTAATAAAGTTCACAACTAATTTCGGTTTTGAATGTTCTATATGTCCTTAATTTGTTACCACCACCATTCATACCATCCAGGGCCTTAAATGCCGACCGGCATGAAGAGGATAGATGAGGTGAGGTGACCATCCATACGTCTTGCAGAAACTCTATGGAGATTATCCGTCCACTTATTTTTAAAATCGGTTAAAAGTTTATCTTCTATTTTAGCTAACACCGTAGTTTTATGAATGTTCGTGTCATTATACCAGTCACTAATATTACACGATTCAAACTGCTGATAAAGTCTATAATTTGAATTTTTACATGCTTTATAACGTCTATAACTATTTTCCGCCCAGTTATGAATTCTTTTATTTAGTCGATCGGTGTTCATATACCTTAAACGATTCCAATGATTTATAACGGTTCGCCACTGTCTTACACAAGGTGGTTTCCAGGCTGAACCTCCATTCACTGCTACGTTAGCTGTGTACCGTCCGACTCCCATATAAAAACGAATTGCCTTATTTTGAATCGAATTTATACATGAAAATGTTCTATCTCCCCACACTGCCGCTCCGTAGCTGATTGTACTCCAAACAATCGAGTCATATAATTTTGTGAAAGAATCAAACGGTAGCCCTCCAAATGATTTATATTTAGATATCACTAGTCCTAAGGCACGAGTATAGCTGAATATATGGGAAGGGTACCTATAGTCATCAACACATTCTGAATATCACATAAGGTTTCCTCTTTTCGATAGTATGTACATATATTTAAATTAACGAGATTGCACCTTCTGAAAGTCCCACAATAAGTTGGTATCATATCTATAAAGTGACTTCTCTAGGATTACACATTTGGAAAGTCAAACAACATTGTTTTTGAAATGGAATGTTATAACTTTCATTGAATTTATCAGAAATAATAATTTTGCAAAGAAATGATTTATTAACTTTTAGTGAGGGTCTGTAGAAACGTCATGCTAGGTTATCTGTTATCAATTTATTATATTAAACTGGATTAAGGGTTAGATGTTTCGCAACAATTAAAAAAATTAGAACAAAATATTAAGGCCTATTCTTGTGTGAATAACCTACAACTTTGTATTGGTTCAATAAGTCGCCTTAAACGTGTGTGTGTGTGTGTGTGTGTGTGTTAAATACTAAGCTGTTCCTTTTAATAATACATCGTATTGATAATACGATTAAAAAACATATGTGCCATGCAGTTCTATGTTGTACAGTATAATATCGTTTCGGACTAATACTAGTACATATATCATGATTTCTCATGATTGCATTTTAACAGTAATACTTTTGAGGGGTTGAAAGGGGCTGCTGGTCTTCCGTCCTGCTCACTTTTTGCGTCTGTTTTTTGTTGGGATTGTTATCGCCTATTTTTGTACTTTTCGTATGGAGTACTTTATGCAAAATAAGGAGATGTGGTATGATTGCCAATGAGACAGCTATCCACCAAGTTCAAATGAAGTGGATGTAAGCAATTATAGGCAACCGTACGGCCTTCAACAATGAGAAAAACCCATACCGTATGGTTATGGTCTGCTATTTCTTATTTACGTCTTTTTCTCCTAGAACTAAAATTTCGATTGCGACCTTGATTTCTTCTTACACGTTTCAACTACAATCACACTTTAATATATGATATATTGATATTATCACATTAATTTGATAAGTAAATACAGGGTGTTTCTTCTATTTTTCATCGGAATAAAATTTAGGTTGGGTATCCCATCGGAAAACATGGACTTGATTATCTGTTGAAATTGAGGACCGGGTAGGGTATGTGAATATGTGAACTCACAGGTTTTTCTAGTTTGCTGTTTGGTATATATTGACTGATAAGAATGAAATTGAGAATGGAAACGGGGAACGTGTCAAAGAAACAACAGCCCAACCAAAGAGCAGAAAACAGCCTAAGGCCACCAATGGGTCTTCAACACAGCGAGAAAATCCCACACCCGGAGGCGGGCTTCAGCTGGCCCCTAAACAATAATGTATACTAGATCAGCGAAAATGGACGTCACACTAAACTCCGAAAGATATAAATGAACCAAAATTTAAAAAAAACAACATACAAGGCAAACAAAGGCCAGAGGTTTCTAACTTTGGAGAGGGGCAGAAATACGTAGGGATAAAACATGTTTTGTGAGATCTCAACCGTCCCCGTACACTTCTAGACAATGTGGAATAAACAAACACACACCAATGAAGCTATCATGAGAATGAAAAATATATACCATTGTTATTTAAATATCGTTCTTCAAAGAAAAGTAAATGTATGCACAATAAACGCCCAGTTAGACTTTACAAATTCGATACGTCATAGATTTTGGACTTGATAGAAAAATTCTAGGTAAAGATCATTCCGTTTTCGTATTTTGATACACTAATAACAATACAGTTAATTTTAAACCTTATCAATGCGACATAATCTTATTATGTCTTTACATGGAAATTATCAAGGTTGTAGCTTTTGAAAGTCACACATTGTTTTGTGATTAGTTTTTTTTTTTATTTATCCTGAATGTAAAGTAATTTTGAAAAGGATTACATTTTTTGGGAAAGTCAATGTTTTTTTGGTCATGTTATACTTTTTTATTGAATTTGTCAAAATATATATTTTTATATTGATCTAGTTTTAAGGCAGCCTATACCATGGTAAAGTAATGGAAAGCTGCAGGTTATTAATTAGCAGTTCATTAGAATAAATGGATATCGGTAGATGTTTTCAAAACAAATAGAAATATTTAAGAAAACAAACTAAATAAAAACTGCATCTTTGATTTTTTTACGAAATTAGTCGCTTCTGAAAGTTTTCTTATAGAACCTTAAATCACAACTTAACATAATATTGTTAGAGTTTTCCTTCGAAATGTCATGCTTACTGTTTTTTAAAACTCCATAGTACAGTATTGCATCAAATTCTTTTCTAATATCATTCATGTATTGAATTTTTTTCCCAATAAGGAAAATAATCAAAACGATATAAATTCCAAATATTTGGGTATAACTAGTTTAAAAAGTAATACAAAAATACCGAACTCCAAGGTCAATTCAAAAAGAAAAGTCCATAAAAACTGACAAAATCGAACGTTAGACTTTATCAGACAATATAACGAATAGAAAACTACTGTCATATTCCTGACTTGGTACTGGCATTTTCCGAAGAAAATATTGGATTAAACCTGGTTTTAAAGCTAGAAAAACCTTCCTCTTGTATGACATTTGTTTATAGTTCCTTATATTGACATAATTTGGTGAGCAACCCAAACAGACATAATAGGTTAATGTGTTAATAATTGGGATCCAGCAGCCAAACTGTGTAAACATACATCACATATATACAACACAACAGACTAAAAAATCCAACAAACATAAAAAATAGGTCTAACAAATACGCTAACAAAAAAGGTAGTTGTAGTTGATAGCAAATTTGACAAAGACGCCGACAAAACAGTTTTTGAAGTTGATAGTAATTTTGACAACGACGATAGCAAAAACGTTTTTGTAGTTGATAGTACAAACAGTATATAGTATACACTTTCTCGATAAAGTACAAATCAAGTAAAATATAAATACAAGAGTAAACAAAATGAAAACAGCACTGTAAAAACCTGCTGCGTCCGAATCGCACCTCCGGACCCCTTCGCACCAGGAACGCCAAAAGCCACAAGTTCGATAGCTGGATATATAAATACCGAGTAATGTCAAGATTCAACAACCAAAAAGAACATAATAGCACAAAGACAAATAAAGGGAAACTGTAAAGTAAATAAAAAGATACACAACTTCAGCACCTAAAATCTATAACCAAAGATCATCTTGTATTATTTGTGAAGTAGACACTGAATATTTGTCTATTAGGTCTTGACAGTTTCCGATGAACTTTTTGAGAAAAATGACGAGACGTTCTTTAACAAAACGCTGTCTTATTATTTTTTATTCAGACACCGATGACGTTTTACAAAGTTTGAGTAGCAGCTGCAAGCTCTTGAATATCGTATGAGTTGAAAAATATAAACACCTGTAGGTCTCAAACTCTGTATAGTGGTAATATCGGAACTGCAACGTGACCCTTGGTGCAAGTCAATTGAATTGACATCGAATCTGTTTATGAGTTTGACAGGATTGGTAAGCAGGTATACAGACCTGAAATTTCAATCAAAGAGATGAAATCGTACACCAGATACAATTGGTTAGAAGGTATTCAGTCCTGGAAAATGGACAAAGGAGAAGAAACAACTTAAAAATTATGTTAATTACATGACTAACTTTTTTACATGTCTTTAAAGCATCGGTAATTTTAACTAACTGCTAATGTAAGACCGTCTCACAGGTATTTCAAATTCGTTCCACTGTAGATGTATACTACATGCGCATCTCAAATGTGAGTCAAACTCTTTAAGAAAACAAGCTTATAATTTAGTACGAAAGACGCGCGTTTCCTCTGCCGAAGACTCACCCGTGACGATTGAAAAACTACACTTGGATGGTCAATTTAGATACGAAATATCCAGCGATGCAAATTAACTCAACATTTCAATGAAAGAAATTTTGATAAAAAGCTGACATTTTCACAATGGAATTGTACTCGGACGAAGACTTTTGTTCAATTTCGCTGCCCTTTTCCAAAACCTGCAATTAAGAATGTTAACTTTATACTTCTCGAGCTTTGGTATTTTAACTCAATTTTAGATAAAACAGTCTCCTCATAATGACATTAGTAAATTTTAATTTTAATTTTAATTTTGATTTTAATTTTAATTTTAATTTTAATTTTAATTTTAATTTTAATTTTAATTTTAATTTTAATTTTAATTTTAATTTTAATTTTAATTTTATTAGTACACATTGTACAACACCAAAGACAAAGATAATAAAGCTTTAAAAATTAAACGGTGTCTTATTTCGTAAAACTTGTCGTAGTAATTCCTGACAGTTACCCACTACCGTGACAAATAAACTGGTTCTCGGATGACTACTACACGTTGTTCATAGCGTAGAGTTAAATACAAGCGGATTCCAGTTTACTTGACAAACAGTAATCAGGCTGAAAGTGAAAGTAGATGTGTAAATGAAAGTATCAAGTATCTTATCCACGTGTCGTTATGCTGGACTTTGCAATTGGATAATACAATAAGAACAGACCATGTAAGTTTATCGATTCACCAAGTTTGAAATCTTAAACCATTCATGATATGTGTGTAGTTACTTGTTAATTGTGTGTTCAGTTACACGTAAATGAGGGGCCTGATGGGTTATTTTCGTTCTTCGTGATCGGCGCATTTTCGCTATCGTGATCCGTTTTTCTACAGATTTTTTTTTTTTATACTTTCGTGATCCGTGATCATGGAAATTTATTTTCTGTGAATCGTGATTGACAAAAAAATCAAATCGTGATGAGACCCCCCCCCCCCCCACCCCCCCCCCCCCCCCCCCCCCCCCATCAGGCCCCTCGTAAATGACGACACATACTAATGTTTTACTTTGATAACAATGGAATGTAGTTTCCATTTTCGTAAGTTAATATCTTAAACATAAAAGGTTCACAAACAACTGACGAATTGCAGTCTCAACGATCATGTTTTTCTTTAGTTTTTTGCATTATAGCTACATATTGAACTTGTTAGATGTACACTTTCTAATGGTCATACGACTAATGATATAGATTACTGTAAATTCAGAAATTATTGCGTGCATTTATTATTGCGATTTTGTCATTTTAGACTTTAAATACTTTAAACATGCAAGTGACTGCCGGTGTTAGTAATATGAAACTAAAAACGATAGAAATATCCATATGGCATTGGAAAAAAACAGATAGAAATACAACACCGTGTTCCAAAGAACAAAAGACGAGTAAAAAACCAAACTTTCAACACAGAAAACTGCAGATTGAGCAACACGAACCCCTCAAAACCCTTGATGAATTTAGAAACTCGCCGTGGTTAAAGTCTCGTGTCATATAAATACCATGATAAGTCACACTTATTTGAAAGATAAACAAAGGACGGAAACAAATTGATATATCCTTATTTATGAGGGTCTGGATGGGGTTTATAGAATACAAAATAATGGCCAAAAGAAAGAAAGAAAAGAGAATAGTTGGTGTACTAAAAAAAATAGAATAGATATAAATCGCCAAAAACATTAAAGATTACAAAACCGAAGACCTCCAGACCATCAGTTATTTAACCATTTGAATAAATAGGATAAGGGTAAATGTTCCCATATACAATGTTGCTCATTCTTGTATGAATTAAGTTAATTGTTATTGCACATTCCATACACAACATATTAACAAACTTTTTACTTGTATGATTCTTTATCTAAATGTGAAACTAGTAATGGAAAATTAAAAGAAAAAAATCCTCCTAATTCCTCCTCTGTATTTTTGTCATGCATATTGATATTTCACTTTTGTAGGATATATAAAGATTGGTTTATACCTAATTTTATATTATACATCACACTGTGGAGTATGATATATTTTTGTTTGTTTTCCCATACACATTTACATCTTCCTCGTACATAGCTCTTATCCCTTGTCCTGGTTTTGCTTCGCTTTTGGTTCGTTTTTGGTTTTTCTAGCTCTTCAACATTTTTATTGGTTTTTTAACCTTCAAATACTTTGACCTAGAGCAAAGAGACATTAATTGTGCAGTAAAATTGGTACTGGTAATGTTATTGAAGTAGGCATTGTTACACATCAATCTGGAGTTTACTTAAAGGAGTTGGTTCACTTTATCAAAGCTATATAGTCCCTATTTGAAGAGGCCCCACACACTTCCGTTATAGATACAAATTCTACTCAGTACAGATTAGTTGCAATAATTCAGGTACTATGTATACAACCTTGGCTTTCAGTGAGATTTGGATTTGATCGTTCCTGAAAATCGTGTAGAACCCTCTCAGTTGATAAAGTGTTATTGTCATAGATTTACATACAACAGAATAAACAAAAAACAATGAGATTTAAGTTACATCAAAATTTTAAAGAGGAGCACGAAAACTCACTTCAATTCAGAGCAATGAGAGATTCAAAACCTAATGAATTTAAAATCTTCAATAACATACAATAAAACGTTGCAAAGCCATGAAAGCTGTGTTCTAATTTTTCATTTTAAACAATCAAATATGTGGTCATGAAACAAAAACGTCAAGACTGGTTAACACAATCATAAATGGGGAAACAATACCAGAGAAGTACGCACAATCAAGTCATAGTTAATTGTAAATTTTATGGAACAACTGAATTCTATTCAGAAATGAGCTGCGTCGGATAGAAATCGACCTTGTGCAAATTAATATCAATACATCTGTTAACCTATCTCGGGATGAAATCTCTACGGAAAGTCTGTAACTGTTTGAAAATTGAGTTGTTATAAGAACCCTACAAAACAGACTGACATTTATCTTTTATTTCGTATTTGAATGTTCCATAATTAATCAAAGTCGTATACATGTACAGGTATATGTGCACTTGCATAAGGTCGATTTCTATCCGACGCAGCTCAAATACTCTAACAATGACTAAATTACAGTAACTTTAGGAATATGTCTTTGTGTAAGTAATACTTGACGATGTACATTTGATTTACATATAGAAAAATTGGCAAAATATTTTAGTTTGTTACATTTTTTCTTCTTATTCAAATCTGACAATGTTACCTATTATGTCTGTTTGTTTTGCTCACACAATATTGTCAATATAATGGAATGCTATGCGACTGTCATACAAGTGAGAGGTTTAGCTAGCTATAAAACCAGGTTTAATCCCCCATTTTTTTCCCATTCGTTTGATTTGTTTGAGTTTTTGATTTTGCCATTTGATAAAGGACTTTCCGTTTTGAATTTTCCTTGGAGTTCGGTATTTTTGCTATTTTAATTTTTACTGAGAATATGTTGAAAAAAAAATTTGTTTTATCATTTCAGGTTACCAGTATGATTGTCATATTGTTTTACTTGTATATAATTTTCACGAAAAGATTCGATAAATCATCAGAACCAAGATCTAGTAAATATAAACTAAAACTTCCCAAAACACCGCACCTGACTTTGTATGAAAAGGACATAAAAAATCGCCAAATATTTATAATTGGGGATGTCCATGGATGCCTCGAGGAACTCGAAGATCTCTTAATTCTAGCACACCATGAGACTGACAGAATTCTTCCAATATTCGTTGGTGATATTGCTAACAAAGGACCACATAGTGTGAAAACAGTAAGAAAAGTTCGAGAACTGAATGCGTATGCCGTAAGGGGCAATCATGAAGAAATTGCTCTCGTGCATTATCTGAAATGGCGGAATGGGGATGTTGTTACACCTGAGAAGTGTAGTTGGACCACAGAACTAAATGAAGACGAAGTAAATTTCTTACAAGAGTTACCATACACTATAGATATCCCTTCTAAAAATGTATTAATTGTACATGGCGGAATAGTACCAGGAGTGTCTTTGGAAAACCAGAATTTAACTCATTTTATTTCAATGAGGAGTTTACAAATAAGTGGTGAAAAACTAATCGCATCACCCAGAATATTTTTAGGCGAACCCTGGGCCTCTTTGTGGTCTGGACCACGACACGTGTATTTTGGGCATGATGCAGCACGTTGTCTGCAAGAGTATCCGTATGCTACTGGACTGGATACACGCTGTTTATACGGAGGTTTTATTTCTGGCATATTTTTAGACAGTAAGAAGATCCTACAAATTAGAGCTAAACGAGTTTATCAAAAACCTAAAATAAAGACTGAGTAGTCATATCAAAATATCAAAGAAGTTAACTTTTCAGAATGCCAACTTTTCTAGATTGTTGTGATTACATTTTGATTCATTCATAAGTTTTGCTGAGCAGCGTATACATTTTAAAAGAGTATTTTAAAGCAACATAATCGCTTGCCGCCGCTCAAAACTTAGTTCACGGATATACCTATTTCTATGTTGTTGTTTTGAATTTCATTGTAATGTATAGTACTTATTTTCATTACCTCTATTCACTTTTCCATGTTTGAATATGTAGGTTTCGTTGATGTTCCCTTAAAATGCACCTGCACTTCTGCCAAATATTCTGAGTGTTTAAATAACTGATTTATTTTTAACAACGTTATGCATCAAGCAATATTTTAGTTTTTCTCATACTTATATCTTAAAGTTCATAAAACAAAAACGGTGGCTAAATTATTTTTATAAATGGCTCCACATTATGTGACCTTGTGGTATTAACTATTGGAACCAATTAGCAAAAACGTAAATTGAAGTATCAGTTATAATATGTGGAGCAGGATCTGCGTACCCTTCCGGAGCTCTAGAGATCATCCCCGATTTTTGGTGAGGTTCGTGTTGCTCAATCTTTAGTTTTCGATGTTCTGTTTTGTTGTATTTGTATCTTTTGCTAGTTTGTTTTTGCCATGGCTTTGTCAAAAATGAAAACAAGATTGTTCGCCACACCACACAACGAAGGACAACAAAATGCATTACAATATGTATTTGTAGTTTTTGTATTAATTGCCAAGTAATAATTTATACAAATAAAAACAAGTTCCTTTCTTTGAAAAAAGAAAAGCAATACGTGAACCCAAGACCGCTGACTGGTCACCAAAAATTGTTGCTACATTTTTGTTTGCTTTTGAATTGAAATAATTGTCTGTGAATAGAATAAGATAATTATGATGTTAAAACACCTTTATCAAAAATATGTAATTTTGTGTAGATTTCTGGCACAAGTCAGTTGAAAGCAATGGTGGATAGTTGTGAATAGAAAAGTTTATATATACAGCTACTATCTGGAGATAAATTTTAAGGCTCGACTATTTAATTTATTACTTGGGAGTGCACATCATTTTTTTCATAATCCTATTGCAAATCCCAGTTTCTGCAAACCGGATGTCTAATGCAAATTGCACAAATCAATCGCAATAAATTTAAGCACTTTGTTTGCTTTATAATCTGTATGCATTTATTTTATCTATCATATCTTCATATTTTGTTTCCTGGATGCCTTCAATTATTCTTAACTCGTTATTAAAGCTGTCTGTACATATGGTAGATGTTGTATAGATAAATTTAAAGTCCAATTTCCATGTGAAGTGAAACCCTGTGGCATGCAACTTATAAGAAGGTTTCGTATATTTTTCTAGAGAGTAACACACCAGCTTCATTGGGACCTCTTATATAGAGACTCATAAAACATCACAAATTTTAAGGATTTCCGGATTTTACTTAAATCAATCCAAATATTCTACAGGAAAACTTGGTTTTGAAGAATATCTTATTTTCAGAAGTTTTATGAATACCTGAACATACTCTCAAACGAAACAATTTATATAAAAAAGATATATAGATATAAAAAGATATTAGGATTTAAATGTTATACACCAGACGCGAGTTAAGTCTACAAAGAATCATCAGTGACGCTCGAATAAAAGAAGTTTAAAAGGCCAAACAAAGTATGATGTTGAAAAGAATTCAGGACCAAAAATTTCGAAACAAAGGTTTTGCCGAATACATCTAAGATAATCTATTCCTAGGGTAGAAAATCCTTAGCATTTCGAAAATGTCAAAGGTTATAATAGGACAGTGACTCAAAAAAGAAAAGATAAAAGAAACAGCTAGAGGTCAGAATACGGTAAGGAATGATGACCGAGTTTGAAAGTCACATGTCAAGCTCTTACTGCCGTGTCCTGAATTTAGATAAGAAAAGCGAAAATTCACATTCGCGAGTGAAATTAATATTTATGCATGCACGTTGTATTTTTGCGCAAGAAATAGTAAATAGAAAGCATACGCACTGATACTCTGGATAAGAATAAGCATTTGCGTCATCACATATATTAATCTAATAGTTGAATTCGGATGTCAAACTACCTACCTCAAGTGTTTTGACTCCGGATTCATTGTCATTCAATCCGGAATTTGTGTGAAGGCAAACCGATAGTGTGCTTGTGAACAGGGTGATATATAATGTGAATGAACCAAGACGTGTAGGATAGCTGGTCAACACAATTAATAAACTTTTCAAAATCGTACCATAGTGCAAACTGTTAAAACAAACAAACAAAAAGAGTATTGAAATTGTATAATTAACATACATTCCTATTCATGATTTTTTTCCAAAAAGTTAGAATATAATACCAATAAACACAAACGTCAAGTATTTACGGATGGACATTTTATTTATCAAATCAATCTCTTCTTGAAGTCTAACATTCTACTATATTAATATATTGCTTATATACAAAATATAAAGAGAGACTTATAAATCCATACTAAAACAGTATGAAATGATTAACATAGTAATTAAATTTTGTTATGATTATTGTAAAATATTAATTACGTATTTTTGTGAGATGCAAAAATTTAAAATCCTTGTGAATTGAAACCATGCAAGTATTTTTTCAATTAATCTTAATTTTCTTCATGCTTTCCGACATTTTCCCATGCTATGATTGAAATACAAATTATCAAATGATAAACGTTCAGAAATAATCAGTTTGTCCTGGAACATTATATATCAATAAACTGTTCCCAGGTTTATTGTCACAATGCACAACAGCACGCTGTATTAAATACTACACACGCAACGCGTACAGGGACCGTCTCAAAGCATGAATTATATAATTGCCTTATCATTATACTTGATATTTAATAAACATTCGCATTATTTAAAAGACATTTGTTTTGTCAAAAGGCAAATAGGTTCTAACATATAAATGATTTTTTGACTGCAATCTAGTCATTATTGTTTTACTATCCAATCTACAAATGAACTTTGATTGTTGAAATATACAAAGATCCATAGAGGGGACCGTATCAAAGACATAGATAACTACCTGTATAAATGATCGAAAATTTTCGAGACGTTCCGAGAATCTTGATTCTGATGATATGGAATGGCCCATAGACACTTTAAAAACTCGCCAATATATAAGCGAAAATTCATCAAAGATACCAGGAACATAAGTTTGTACGCCAGACGCGCGTTTCGTCTCCAAAAGACTCATCAGTGACGCTAGAATAAAAAAAGTTAAAAAGCCGAAACAATTACGAAATTGAAGAGCATTGAGGACCAAATATTCCGAAAGGTTTTGCAAAATACAGCTAAGGTAAACTATTCCTGGGGTAAAAAATCTGTATTATGTCGAATAATTCGAAGTTCTGTAAACGGTTAACTTAATAATATTACCATATCAATTATAATTCATGTCAACACAGCAGTACTGACTACTGGGCTGGTGATAGACTCGCTGATACAAGTGGGTTATTATGCTAGCTATAAAACCAGGTTTAACCCACCCAAGTTCTTTGGAAATTGCCTGTACCAAGTCAGGAATAGGGCAGTTGTTTTTCCATTTGTTCCGTTGGTTGATTTAGTCTAACGTTTGATTTTGTCCGATTTTGTGGACTTCCCCTTTTTAAATTTACATTGGACTTCGGTATTTAGTTAATACTGTTGTTCATTTCAAAGTGATAGAAGCAATTTTCTAAAATGAAAACTTTTCTGTCTCGAATTTTTCGGTTTGCCTCGGATTTATTATTTATTTTTAAAACTTGTTAATTTGAAGTTAAATTGTATAAACTCTTTAAGCGTTTGTCGGATGTATGTACGGCTTTGTGTTCAGAGAATCATACGATTGAACAAAAGTCTATCCATAAATATAAAAATAAGAGATAGCTATTAAATGCATACCAAAAGTTCAAGACTTGAACAATTACAGGTCACCGTAAGCAACAATAATGTGTATGTTCATCATTACTTTTTCGTTTGTCCAAAATACACTGCATGTAGAGAAACTTTACTCAATAATCTTAATTGGCTTTCCGAAAACATCGTTTTAAATACAAAACTGTTAATTTGCAGATTCTTGGAACTTTCGAATGAACAAAATATCTGAATTTTCAAAAATGTTTAAAATTTCATCAACAGGTCAAGCATATTTCTTGTACCTTGATCAAACGTTATTGATACTGACACGGACCATCATCCTCATCGACGCCATCATCAACACACAAGTCATCATCACAGAATTATATGACTTCTCAATCTTGCTTTAATTTAGCAAATAAAATATGTTTAAACTAAACTTAATTAAAACCCATATTGTATAGTATGCTATAAAATGCCCTGTGAAAATAGGTGAAACAGTTTTAAGAGAAAACCAACGGCATGAGTAACTGGGTATCAATAAATGAAAAAAATATAATATGACAACCAACGGCAACCACTGAATCGAGGTCTATTGTCTTGGGACGTTCACATAATCAATTAGAGGCGGATAAACAAGTTTGTAAGCAGTCTTCGCTCCCTAAACTAGAATGGTGATATAACAACACTATATAAGAACAAACAGAAAAACATTCGTTTTGACAGGGTATGGCTCTTCATATCGGTACCAAGCACAAAAACAAATAACATACACCCAAAAGACACATAATACTGATCTAAGTACACCAACTAATTATACTACGGTAAGATAAGAACTTTGTATCTTCACTCGTCATATGTATAATAATAATAATACACAAACTCTTTTGAGTTTTAATCTGAATATATAAAACATATAACGAACATTAAAACGATTGCATTAGCGAAACAACACATCTAAAGTCATCAATGTACTATATAGACTGATAGACCATTACTTTGTTATACAATCTTGTCGTTTTTTTAGCTCGTGTATGTCGACTAAAATACTGTACTTGTACTAACTATATCAGAAAAAAAAAATATTGGAAATATAACGCTGGGCTTAAATAAACTCATCATAGATACCAGGATTTTAATTTTGTACGCCAGATGCGCGTTTAGTCTACAAAAGATTCGTCAGTGACGCCCGAATAAAAAATAGAAAAAAGTCCAAATAAAGTACGAAGTTAAAAGCATTGAGGACCCAAATTTCCGAAAATGTTCTCCAAATAAAGCTAAGGTAACTTATACCTGGGATAAAAAATCCTTAATAGTTTCGAAATAAAAATCAGTTTTGTAAACAGTTAATTTATGAGTATGACCATACTAATGATCATTCATGTCATCGCTGAAGTGCTGACTACTTGGATGGAGATTTCCAGACTTACACCACACATTTTGTCAAAATCAGCAAAGAAACATCGCTAATGAATTATTCACTTTCAAGTGAATAATTCGACCTCATTAAATCGGTATTCATGTGAACTTTAAGTGAACCCCTTAGCTAGAGATAGGTTACGCATGAACTAGGCGTGTTCAGCTACTAAAAAGAAAAGAATGTCAACATTGGAAGTGAAGCAAGGGTAAACCATTTGATTGACTAATTCGATCTACAAAAACTCATTCTTAGACAGGTTAAAACGATTGTTAACATATTTGTTAAGCCTATAATATGAAATCAAACAGACCTTGAAAAACCCAATTGCACGAGTTCGTATCTATTTATATATATGTTTATGTTTATATAGGATTATATGACCGTCTTCAGTCTTCGGAGGTCACTTCGATGGTTAATTAGATGGCGTCTAGACTAAAATACACTCGAAATGCTGATACATATTATCAAGTCTATGCATCGTTATTTGTTATTTTAGACTTTTTATTATGGATTCACGTTTTAGTTTGTTATAAATCAAATATGAGAATTTGAGTCAAATCAGTGAACATGAATTTGATACCTAAATCCCCTTTAAAACAAATGAATGAAAACTGTATTTTATATTGAACCCATATGTAAAAAAATATTATTATTTAAAAAGGAATATTTCGCACTTGCATAATATATATTCCAGTGAAAAAAAAATGATTGAATTTGTTTTATCAGTAATACACATCTTTTAGTTTTCTAGTTTTAGAAGAAACGTAAACCCTTTTAGCCTTTACATGTATCATCTTTTGACTATCAAGAAATATGCCTGTCAAACAGTTACCATACACACATCCCGTGTCAAGTCCAATGGCGTAGGAATATTGCTGCAGTTTTCGTGCAGCGTCATGTCCAAAATATACATGTTCTGGGCCTTGCTACAGTGATGCCCATGGTTTACCTATAAGCCGACTGTCAGACGCTTTTAAGGTGACACCGTGTTTATATAAGGTTTTCATAGCTGTGCAATTTTGAATATCCTGTTCTTTTAACGATTTTCCTGGAACTAAACCTGCATGGACAATAATTGCATTCTTATAAGGGATATGTATAGTATATGGAAGCTCCTGTAAGAACCGGATGTCATCTGCGACAAGTTCTGTTATCCATTTATATTTATTAGGTACAATATAGTTCTCATGCTCCTGTCGAAAATGATATTGTTTGATCACATTCTCCTCATGATTACCTTTGACAGAGTAAGCATTCTCTGCATGAATATGTCTGACTGTTGACAAGTTATGTGGTCCTTTGTTTGTGAAATCACCCACAAATATTGGCAGAAGAGTTTTACCATTCAAATCTGTTTTTGCTAGGCGTAAAAGTTCATTAAGTTCCTCGAGACATCCATGAACATCACCAATAATAAATATTTCACGATCTTTAATATCTTCATTTGTGAGTACACGATGAGGAGTTTTAGATAGCATGATATTTTGTTTAATGGTCCGTTTATGTCTTTAATTTTGTCGAAAAGCGCTGAATATATACAGTATAATAAGGTCGCCATTTTGGACATCTAAAAAAAGGAAAAATGTAAAGTTGCAGTAAAATGTATTTCCGTATTGTCTCGCTGATACCACCTTTTAAATGAAAAAAGGGGGACAGATGTCAACAAGGGAACATTAAAAACCCATAAGGCAAAGATAAACTGACAACACCATAACAAAATTAGAAACGCAAGACGAAAAAAACATTTACAAGTCAATAAAAATCTCCATGCGAAACTAAAGACTAAGCCAAAAAAACTTAAGTGATCTCATATTCTCCGGAAGAGTGCTGAACCTGCCTGCTCCACTAGTGACACCCTTATGTTGTTCGTGGTAAGTACGATTTCGGTCCATGTTCCTATTACCTGATTTGATTCCAGTCTTTGATTTAAATGCAAAGGGAAACAACTCTTGGGTAAGCCAAAATTGTAGTCCTGTCTATACAGGGTAAATGGAACGATGAAAATGTCTTTTTCGAGATAAATTTTACCACGTAAGTCAAAGTTCATGTTACATTATTGTTTTCGAATATTAGATTATGCAATGCAAAATTCATAAAGGTTGACGCACATCAATATGTGCTACAGAGATAGTGATACATTTGGTTGGAAAGCCAATGACCATGAAAAATGTAATACGGAATTGACCTTATCAAAATTTGCACAGAAGTTAGAACAAATGTCAAAAATAAGTATATAGATAATTTTTATTATGTAAAATATCAGTGTGAAATGAACAATGAAACTTACTTTTCAAACCGGGACCTATTATTTTTCACCAAATCTTCTATTCTTATTTAATATGAATTTCGGTAAGTGGATAGACCTTCAATTGTTCTGTAAACAATTGGTTTTTATTTTTTGTTTGTTTTTGTTTGTTTTTGTTTTTTTACATTTGTTGTATCGAATTCTTTAAACTGATTTTGGTTGTTTTGTATTGTCTCTTCAGCTATGTTGTTTTTCTTTTACTCTCTGAATCTGTGGCTGGTATTTTGTTTAATTGTTCATTTTGATTCATATCTTTTTTGTTGTTACCTTGATATAGAAAGTACATACAATCTTTGACTTGAAGTGTTCATTTAATCCGCTGCATTTGTTCAACGGTTGGGATTCCTCGTCTATTGGATACCCTTGAGAGACGAGATATAACATGCATTTGACCAATAATTTGATAATCACAAAATTATTAAACATATTCTTACCGTGTTTAGCTATTACATCGGCCATATGTCATATCAAGTTAATAGATAAATAAACCCGAAATAAATTAATTGAATTATTCCTAGGAATGTTACTTCTGTTTGTTTATTGGAATGTAACATTGGTTTTTTTTAACAATGATTTATATTCTTAGATAGAAATCAGAGGTTTAAATGTTTGGAAACCAAAGGTATCATAATTCCAACTTTGCAATTCTTAAAGGGGCCATAGCTGTCAAATTCATGTTCACCGATTTGACTCAAATTCTCATATTTGATTTACAGCATACTAAAACGTATATCCAAATTATAAAAAGTCTAAAATAAACAATTTACAATGCATGGGCTCGATAATATGTATCAACATTTAGCGTGTATTTTAGTTTAGACGCAATCTAATTAACCATCGAAGTGACCTCCGAAGACTGCCGACTGTCATGTAGCCCAATATTAACATAAATTAAGATATAAATAGATAGCGAACTCATGCAATTGGATTTTTCTAGGTCTGTTTGATTTCATATTATAGGTTAAAAATATATGTTAATCGTCGTTTTCACCTGTATAAAAATGAGTTTTTGTGGATCGAATCTGTCAATCAAATGGTTTACCTTTGTTTCACTTTCAATGTTGATATTCTTTTCCTTTTACTAACTGAACACGCCTAATTCATGTGTAACCCATCTCTGGTAAAGGGGTTAAATTGAAGGTCACATGAGTACGGATTGAATGAGGTCGAAATATTCACTTGCAAGTGAATAATTCATTTTCGATGTTTCTTAGCTTATTTTGACAAAATTGAACAAAACTGGCTGCTAAAAGCGAATTAAAATTTTCACTATTTCACTTTCATTAATGATTGAACAAATAAAATCCTATTCTAAATTTTTGTTACATCTCTTAGCTAATGCCTCTTTAAATTGTTTGCATTTAACTCTGCAGTATTGAAATTCCAACTTTGCAAATCTTAAATTGTATGCATGAAACTCTGGAATTTTTATATTGCAACTTTGCAATTATGAATTTGTACCAGTGCCAACTCGAACTTTGCAACTCTGCAACTATGTAATTCAAGTGTCTAATTTCGATTTTTTTGTACTTGCTAAAAGTATACAATATGTACTTTCGTTATTTGTAATTTCGCAATTTGTAATATGTTTTCTGTTTTTCTCTATTCTGTAAACTCAATCAAGACCCTCGTTTATTCACGTCAGCTAGGTGTCAAGGTACAAGTATTCAACTGAAGAATACACTTTTCAAAAAACATTAATGCAAGATGCAAATAAACATATTAGAATTGAGAATGGAAACGGGGCATGTGTCAAAGAGACAACAACCCGACCAAAGACCAGAAAACAGCCCAAGGTTACCAATGGGTCTTCAATACAGCGAGAAATTCCGCACCCGGAAGCGGGCTTCAGTTGGCCCCTTAACAAACATGTTTACTAGTTCATAGAAAATGGACGTCCCACTAAACTCCGAAACATATAAATGAACCAAAATTTAAAAAAAACATACAAGATACAAGACTAACAAATGCCAGAGGTTCCTGACTTGGGACAGGCGAAAATAATGTGGAGGGGTAAAACATATTTTGTGAGATCTAAATCCTCCCCCCTATACCTCTAGCCAATGTAGAATAAACAAACACAGCAATACGCACAGTAAAACTCAGTTTAAAAGGTAAAGGTATAGGGGAGAGTTGAGATCTCACAAAACATGTTTAACCCCACCGCATTTTTGCGCCTGTCCCAAGTCATGAGCCTCTGGCCTTTGTAAGTCCTGTATGTTTTTTAATTTTAAGTTCATTTATATGTTTTGGAGTTTAGTGTGACGTCGATTTTCATTGAACTAGTACGCTTTTTGTTTAGGGGCCAGTTGAAGCCGGCCCCCTGTGCGGGATTTTCTCGCTGTGTTGAAGACCTATTGGTGGCCTTTTCTGCTCTTTGGTCGGGTTGTTGTCTCTTTGACACATTCCCCATTTCCATTCTCAATTTTATCTTTGACACATTACCCATTTCCATTCTCAATTTTAGTGTTCATTATGATTTGTTACATTTGCCGTCCGTCGTCCGTATTCACATCTGAAGCTAACAAAACCTTTAAATAGACTTATTAAGAAGGGATATAGTTACGATACTGTTATCAGGTCATTAAAGATTGCATATCTTGGCGTTAATATTGATTCACTTATAGGGTCTTTGCATCGGCACTAAACACATTTATTTAAAAACCAGTTGTTGGCATGACACGCGTTATGTTCTTCTCATATATGTTATGATGGTATGATACTAAACCCCTAACGGGAAGGATTGTGCCTGATATTCATATGATGAAGACATAATCTTTCAATCAGTTTAATTGAAGTCTGGAGCTGGCATGTCAGTTAACTGCTAGTAGTCTGTTGTTATTTATGTATTATTGTCATTTTGTTTATTTTCTTTGGTTACATCTTCTGACATCAGAATCGGACTTCTCTTGAACTGAATTTTAATGTGCGTATTGTTATGCGTTTACTTTTCTACATTGGCTAGAGGTATAGGGAGAGGGTTGAGATCACATAAACATGTTTAACCCCGCTGCATTTTTGCGCCTGTCCCAAGTCAGGAGCCTCTAGCCTTTGTCAGTCTTGTATTATTTTAAATTTTAGTTTCTTGTGTACAATTTGGAGTTTAGTATGGCGTTCATTATCACTGAACTAGTATATATATTTGTTTAGGGTCCAGCTGAAGGACGCCTCCGGGTGCGGGAATTTCTCGCTGCATTGAAGACCTGTTGGTGACCTTCTGCTGTTGTCTGTTCTATGGTCGGGTTGTTGTCTCTTTGACACATTCCCCATTTCCATTCTCAATTTTATCTTTGACACATTACCCATTTCCATTCTCAATTTTAGTGTTCATTATGATTTGTTACATTTGCCGTCCGTCGTCCGTAAACTTTTCACTTTTTGATCTTTTACTTGAGATCCACTTAAAAGGATCAATATATCAAACTGATATTTTTCTCCATTGTTGAAGCATATGATAAAAAAGATCATGACATGTCATTTTTCATATCGGATGTATTATTAGCTCTCGGTCAATATCAGCCCTCGAGCCTTCGGCTTTTTTGCTTATATTGAACCTTGGGCTGATACATCCGATATGAAAGACGCCATGTAATAATCTGATAATACATTGTTTAATGTTCTTTCACCATTAAAACAAAATCACATTAATGGCGTCATTTTTCGAATTCCTATACTACTATTATGTTTTGTATGCTGTATTGGGGCATAGTTCGTCATTGCTGAATTTAGATCATACCTATATCTAAGTATAACAGAACGAATATAAAAGCTTACATGTCTATTGATAGAATGCAGAAAATTAAAACGCATAATTTACTGATCAATTAAAAACATCCGCACATTTGATAGATTGGTCTTCTACGACAATATGCTTTTGGGTTCAAATGCAAATATTAACAATGAAGAAAAGGGCAATGGACAAAACTCAGACATTAAAGCAACACTATTTATCATTGCAACGTTCTATATTTTTGTAAAATCATTCGAAACGATAAGGTTTTTCTACCCATAGTCAAAACTACCTTTTCACCTTTCAATATCATCGAAAACTGTATTGAAATAGGATGCGCAAAGGGTAATAAACCAATATTACAAAAGGAATTTAAAACTTTAATACTGGGTTTTGTTTATTCAAGATTACCACTGACCTGTTAAGACGAATAATGAGGAATAACTCGTGTTAACATACACAAA